AGAGTTGGCTATATTTCATCTATGCTGCCTAAATCGAGACCTATTTCGATGTGTCACAATTGAGTGCTAATATGGCTTAACGATAAAAATCAATACTCCCTTAAGTGAATTCTGTTGAAAAACTATTGACAAATTCGTGGATTTGAGGAGGATTTCTCGGTTTCCAACAAAGCGAGAATTACGTCAACATATTCCTTTCCATTCCCTGATTGACCTACATTTGGACGCGGCCGGTGGTGTTATTTCCCATTGTAATGGGATCTTATGGGATCACCCGTTTTTACACATTGCAGATGGATGCTAGTCCCATGCATTGTTTGTTGCTTCTCTGTGTGATACAGGTGACCTGGCAATTACTGAGTATAAACCGAGAGCGGTTAATCATTCTCATGCTTATTTATGTCTGTAAGTATCGAAGTGATTCAGCACTTTCTGAGGTGAATTCAAGCTTTTATGCAGTAATTCAGTACTACAGTACAGACTTCGGGATTTTCTAAAAGTAATCTTTTTAATACAGTGATAAAAAAAAAGATTTTCTAAAATGTTTCCGTACTTTTCGAAGAGATTTCCAACTTTTTATGAATGATTCTGTGCTCCACAAAGTTATTCGGATTTTTCTGAAGTGATAGGAATAAGTCTCTGGTATGAGTCGCCCGATTGAAAATGTTAGTAATGGTCGAGATCAGCTGACATGTACCATCTCGTACAGCAAAAAAAAAATGAATTTGCTAATGCTTGGCTTTGCCATAATTGCATCAGCTGACGAGGTACCAGGCTATCCATTGTGTTGTGACTCTGATGGATTGTCGGTTATTTTATTGACGAATCGAAACTTTGACTGCCACCGTGTTGTAGTGTGTGCTCAAGTCTCTCGAAAGATTTAACCGATTCAATTGTGTGCTGGGACAGCCACTTATCTGACAATTCATTGGATGCGGCTGTCAGTTGCTTTTGGGATTTTCTCCTAGAATAAAGTGTTACGGCAACGTAACTACTTCACCAACGAAAAAAAAGTATTAGGCTAATAGCTTGAGTCCTCGCCTGGAAAATTTTTAACATCGAGCACTTTACGGAGTGGATCAATTCAGGCGAAACATGTCAGAAGGGTCTAACTCGAAACGATACAATGACTTGGATCGTCGGTTTCTTACGAATGACAACACACCCACTAAAACTAACTAAATCATCTGACAGAGAAATGTTTGTTCTATGAGCTGGTGTAGTCAGATTTCGTGGGTGTGGGGTCATTCAAGAGAAATCGACGTAAAGTCATTGTTTACGTTTCGAGTTACACCCTTCTGACATGTTTCCCCTGAATTGTCTGGTGAAGATGACTGACATGAAACATATGAATATGAACTCTTTCTGCGGATTGGAACGACCGCATGATAACAGTACGTTCAGACTATAGCTGATATCATGTAAATCAAGAATTAAAGTGACGGTTGTCTCACAGGTGACGAGTGGATGAAAATGGTAATGACGTTTTGATATCTGTCATGACTGACATGTTTTTTAGTACATCATCATTTTTGTAATTGCGGTTCTGAAAATTCGGTGTCGCATGACCAGTTTTGGCTTTGCTTTGATTCGCCAATATAGACTATATTGATTTCAAAAGTCATACCTACGATTTCCGCTGAAAATTTGACGCATGAGTGCTCATTGCAAGACAGCCTATATTACATGATATCAGCCATAGCCTGAACGTACAATAAGAGTGACGAGATGTCAACTTAAATATTCTTGGGATACGAAAAGAATGCTTAACTGGTGTGACTAGACATCCACTTGAAAAGTTCGAGCGTGAATTGATATAACAGCCAAAAGGATGAGATGGGACATCCATCCCTAAATTTATTTGGATTGAGTCGACTGTTTGTTAAGGGGTTACGCCTACCTGCAAAACCGAAAAAAATCGAAAGTTTGGATTTTTTTCTCGAAAATAACGCAACATATTGAAAATCGGTTTTCTGCCGTTTATTGAACACACATTAAAAGGTACATTTATCAGTCGATGCTGTAAAAACGAGGTCCTGGTGCCCCGCATGGCTGCTCCCCGTGGACGATGTTCTAAAAAACGCTTTTTGCGGTGCCAACTGCGGTTTGTGATGTAATCATCTGAAATTAAAAAAAAAACCATGCCAAATAGTTAAGCATGTGTTAAACTAGTCCTTGATCGTTCGGTTTTTTTTTTGACAAAATGGCGGCCTTGCAAAGTTGAAGTGCCGATTTTTGATCCTTAAAATTTGTCTTTGATCGGCTGTGAAAAATCGAAATTAAATGATAGACGAAATCCGAACGATCGTGGACTGCACAAAGTAGTACTGAACAAAAATCAAAACGAATCGGACGAATCGAATGTATACATTTCGAGAAATTTTTGGCACCGGTTTTGAAAATATGATTCCGAGATAATCGCGTTTAAAGTTTCAAGTTTTGTTTAGTCCACTATAGGTGAATATTCTTGTACGTCGCATAACTTTCACAATTTTCATCGGATCAACTTGATCTTTTGAGGAAATATTCTTGACTTTATATACTTTCGATTAAGACAATAAAAAAATCGATTTTTTGAAAGTTTGCAGGTAGGCGTAACCCCTTAAGTGAGACGAGAAGTATACTCAGAGAATAATGAACCAGTAGTTTGGTATTACACCTAACTGGTATGGCAGGATGTTCGACTAAGAATGTCAAGCTTACGTATAGAGCAAAACAGCTGAAGTAACCGGTCCTAGCCGAAGAACTTTTTTTGGTTTGCACCTTTATTGACTTTGTGCAAGAAGAAGAGCCATCTACTCCGTAAATTTAAAGGCGACCGTTTTGAAGAATACATTTTCCAAACAGTGAATGTGAAAACTAAATTTGTTTAACTGCTCCTCACTTATGTAGATCTGAGCTAAATCTTAATTAAGGTTATTCAAATTTTCTGGAACGGCGTTCCTGTAAATGTAATTTATCTGGAGGGAGATAAAGCTAGAGATTCCGACCGTTATTGTTTTAATGTGCGAATTAGACACTGGCAGAAGATAAACGTTTAGTTAACTGCTAATAAATACGTATGAGTTTGGTGAAATTTGGGAGAGTCCAACAGATAAATTGCTAGATGAGTGTAATGTGGATGATCCTTCCAGTTGGGATTTCATGCTTCTGTTTATAACGACATTGGAGCCCTGTATTGCCAACACGCTGGAATCATAGAGACGATATAGAAATTCAGGCTCTGCTGATACTCATTAAAGGCAGTCCAAGTCCTTTTCATCCATGCCGCACTGTTGGTCTTGAGGTTTCAACTATAATTTACGTTCAGGAGCATGTTGAGCAAAAAATAAATATCGTATATTCTGCTAGCGAAAACCTGTGGTGTGATGTTGACGTTTTGTTCTTAGTATGTGCTGTGGTTCTTTTACTAGCTTATATGCAGAGGATTCCATACTTTAGTATGACTACAGATATTACGTACTTTAGTATGATCGTAGTAGTAGTCGATGGTTGTGGAGCAGTACTCTGTGATTCTAGTAAATAGTTGACGTGAGTAGAACTACCAGACTGAAAGTGGGATGTATTGGTTCTAAATCAAGTAGATTCGCCATAGGTTGATTCGCGGTGACGTTGGAATTGTAGCCACTAACCAGAAACATCCTGTCAGATTAGTGTTCAAAAGCACAAAAGCAGATCCAAGAGAAGTTTTTCATACTACGTTGCATAAAAAGTGTGTTGCAACTAAAGGGATTGTTTGCCAAGATGATGCAAGTGTTGATACCAGAATCACTCACCCAGCGTAGAAAAGAGACAAGCTATTAAAAATCAGTCGAAAATTATCAATGTTTGACGAACAGCTTATTTTTCTGAAACGTTTGTGATCCGAGAAAGATTTTTCACTTTTCCAGAACGTGGATTCGAAGTGATCCGGGACGGACAGCCTATTATTTAGGATCGTGGATCTAAGATGATCTCCGATGGACATCTTTCCGGACGGACATCTTGGTATTTCCCGGAGATTAGAATAAATATTAACCACGATGAACACCCGGACATTCTAGAACAAAGTTTAATCGGATCAGGACCATCCATCTTACTTTTTCGAATTACGGATTGAAGACAATCTGATTTTTTTTTTAATTTTAGTGAATAAAATCAGCTGGGTGTACACACCAAATGAACCAAATATATTGTGTCACGCGCCCACTAAATCGGAAAGCGTCCCACATTGCTGAGTAAAATCGTATAGAAATTGAAGCCTTACGATGGGATTTTTAGAGAAGGAGTGGGATTGTGGGGTACACCCTAGCTTAGATGATAACTCACTGCGTCGTACCCCTCGTTCTGGTGTCACATTGCGAATCTCGAAACGAAAGACTTTTTGTACGAACGCTTTTGTATGAAAACAGTTTTTCGTTTCGAGATGCGCAATGTCGCCCCTGGTGTTTAACATCATTCTGTTCATGTTCATTCAGCATGAACGCGCTTGAGTGACAGTTTGATCACAGCACGCTGCTGTTTAATGCTGAGCTTGATCCATCCGCTTTCCGCGGTTGTCAGTTAGTCGGACAAGACGTAAGTTACTGCTGTCGTCTTGTGTGCTGTGTTACTGCGTTCCAGTGGCGCTGGATGATTTTCACCCGGACGATATATTCTCAAATCCCACACTCCGCTTAGTGTCATGAACATAAAAGAAGTCATACTCCGCTGTGCATTGGGTTCATGAAAAATCACGAACTGTTATTGAAATTGACAAAACGTTCAGTTACAGGCCAGGTCGATGCCTTAAAAATATTGTTTTTTTAAAAGTTACACTACATATCCCCTTAAAACTAAATCAACGGTTTGTCATCAGGCATTGCAGAGTGGAGTAACTTCCCCGTGGACGTAAAAACGCTGCGGCATCTTGGTGTGGAGCAGTTATTTTTTTCTTCATCTAGATCCCTGGAGCTAAACTACGACTGCGGCTGTTTAACTATTTCTGTTAAATGCTTTCGAAGAGAAATGACTGAACATGCTTCGTAATCATCAGGTTTTCCTTTATTACACTCTAAATGTGTGGTACAACATTGTACTGCCAATCCTATGTATACTCAACAAACGGACCGCACTGTATCAATGCATCCTATAATCTCAGAAAATCCCACTATCTCAGGCCAAACCCTATGTACAACATCGTTAAAACTTGCCCCAAGCTTGCATATAGCTTTTGCGTTGTCTAAAATACACACATCTTTGATATACAATAAATTTGATATTTTCCTCTGATATGACCTAGATATGCTCGCTACAGTATGATATAGTAGTAGGTTTCCGTCCAGAATATCCGTTCCACTCCGTTTAGTTCCCTCCTCCGCACATTTATTGTCTCTACACATCCACACGCATTAAGCTACCAGCAATATTTTGTGAAGATTTAGCCACCCCTCCCGTCGGCGCAGATCTCACACCGAAGTCGGCAGCGGACTGCGCGGGATTTCCTCGATCGCCAACGAGGTGGAAAGTTCCCCGCTGAAGGCACAGTCCAGCGCCGACGGAACGACCACGTCGGTCCGCTCGACAAAGTGACGCTCCCGGTAGGCCATCTTGACGTAGCTGTGTGCCGGCGAAGATTCCTCCGCTTCCGGAACGGTGACGAAGGCATTGAATGCTGCTGCTTGTTGTTGTTGTTGTTGTTGCACCAATGGCGGAGGAGGTGGAGGAGGGATGTCCTCGTAGTTCGGATTGGTGACCGACAGGACCCCGTAGCGGCCACCTTCGCCATCCTTCAGGCTTCGGTACGTTCCCCGGCGGGACTTTTGGCTGCGTGGGGCCGAGTACAGTTTCAGGATTTTGCAGTTGCACGACACCAGCATTGCTATCACTAGGCCCTGTGTGAAATAGAGAGAGAGGATAGAGAGAGATAATGGGACAATAATCAAAATTAGCTAAATTGAATGTGCTGATGGGAGGAATGTGAATCGGCAATCAAGTTTGATAGCCGGTGCTTAAAATTTATATTCCAGCTGTGATGGAATTTGGAGCTGGCGATAGCAATGGATAGCATTTGGACATCACAGGGGATGATTCGAATGCTGACGGTTTCAATATGACATTCCCATTTTCCGCTAGTTGGGAAAAGTGTTTATGCTTTATACTGTTATTAGCCGCTTTTCGTTATTGTGTTAATTTTATTGTTTAGTCATTGGTAATGGCAGCAAATAAGATTTAATGATTTCTAATGATGCTATGGATATATAACTAATCAACAATCTTTAGGAATAAAATTTTGAAAAAAAAACGCACCACAGCTCAATTCAGGACCTTTTGTATTATCGTTTGGTACACACTGCCATTTTGTCCATTTGACAAGATCAACCGACGCGCACGTGATCCGGCTTAGTAGTCTCTAGGTCTAGCCTTCCTCAAGCCAGACCAAATATAATCGGCTGGAAGGAATTTGTCTCGGGAACCCTCCTTAATCGCCAAGGAGACGTTGTACAACATTAGAGCATGTCCCATTAATTTAAAATATACCCATTATTGTAATAGTTTGTAAGATAGGAGCTAGAACTAGAAATTGTTATAATATTTAAAATAAACTCGCCTATTTGAGCGCCGTCCGCTACCAAAACTGCTCGAGTAGACAACTAACACCCCTTCTCAAGGGTTGGCAAAAGTGTGTGGGAAGCAAGTTCATTCCTCCCATTGCGAGCGAGGGAGAAGATAAATAGGCTCTCGACCGCTTGATGGGGTGTCTTTTGCGGAAAACCTTTTGGATAGTACGGACGCGTATATAAAGAAAAGTACGGATTTTTGCCTTCGCGTATGTGACGCCTAGTGTGGCGAGTAAAACGGGCTGTTAACCTGGCCAGAAGAACCAAAACCCAGTCTCGGTAGTGCGTAATTCTGGTGTTTGGACGAAGTGTCCCGAAACCTGCACGTGTGCTCACAGGATTCCTACGAGAATCCCTGCCGCAAGTGCCCCGACGCCTGCGACGACGCAGAGAGCAAGGAGCGACAGCGCGGGCCCAACGTAGCCTCTCAATCGACAGAGTAGGCAGCATCTGAGGGAAAAGGTAAGTTGCATGCTACCTTCGTAATGTTATAGTTCCCCTCTCGGTAGAGTCACTCCGGCCTTGCCTGGGCTCTGCCGATGTAAGTCTATGAGGGAAGACCACTTCCTCACACCGCCACTCAGCCAACTTTGACCACGAGCACAGTGAGTCCAGCGAGCGCTCGCCCAACGTCGTCGAAGCCGTCCATCTTCAGCATCAGTCATCATCATCAACAGTACCGATACGTTTTTCAAGAATAAATCACCCACTTTACACCCAAACCCACAATAGCAGTAGTATAAGCCAACCCTCTCAAACAATAGTTGTCCTCAATAAAATGTTTCCATCTTGAACCACAGTTGCATTTTTTCCATAACGTTAATCAGGTGACAGTATTCTGCACGTTTGGTCGCGTAGCCCCTCCGATTACCCAGTAGTAAGCCAACCTTGAGACCCAGCTCGAGAGGTCTCTTGCTATTGAGAACTTACCGGGAACAGACAGTAGAGTTTATAGTTTAAATGATCTTTATTTTAGTTTAACTTGGACGATTACCATATAATTTTTTTTACTAAGTGATTTAATTGCTTTCTTCATCTTTAGGTATGGGCAAAATTAAAAATTTGTTTTACAGAATTAGTCCTAGACTTAGTACACGGTCGACCACCTTGATGGGATTGGTTTGTTTTGTTTTTAGAATTTGAAGAGAAACTACTTAATACTACTATTTACAGCTTAAAACTAACCTACTCTACTATATACACTTAACCTACTATGTACAAATTGCTTATTAAAGCATGTTCAGAAAGATTGCATTTTTGAATAAATTTAGTTGTCATATCATCAATTTTGGAATCTACTTTGGGAATTTCTGCCTCTTGATGGAGGTCTGCTATTCTTGTGTCGAATGGACGATCTAGGATCATCCTCAACACTCTATTCTGTGCAACCTGGATTTTGTTCCTGTGGGTCTGAGCGCACGATTCCCACACCGGGGCGGCATATAAGATCGCGGGGGCTATGATCTGTTTGTAAACAGCCAGTTTGTTTTGCCTTGAGAGGCGGGATCTGCGGCAAATGAGCGGATACAAACACCTAACCAAGGCGGAGCACTTAACTAGGGTTTTCTCTATGTGCGAGCGGAACAGGAGCTTCTCATCGAACAACATCCCGAGATAAGTAACATCAGTGGACCACTCGACCCTTGTACCATCCATTATTACGGTACAGGAGGGAGACGGTTTAAGTTTTGGCGATTGTCTGTGAAGGAACATGATTGCTTGGGTTTTCGAGGCGTTGATTTTGATTTTCCACGTGGTGGCATAATCAGTAAAGGTGTCAAGCCATCGTTGGAGCTTGTTCGTAATTTCACGAGGCATCCTACCCTTGACGGCTATCGCGGTGTCATCTGCAAACAGAAAGAACACGCAACCGTCTCCTAGAGGAGGGATGTCCGACGTGTAGATGCTGTAAAGCAGTGGTCCCAGCAGACTCCCTTGCGGAACACCTGCTGGGATCGGAAATTGTCCCGAAAGGGAACTATTCAACGACACCCTGAACGACCTTTGCTGGAGATAGTTACGGGTGATTTTCACAAGGTATGGTGGAAAGTTGGAGTTACAAAGCTTGTATATAAGTCCGTCGTGCCAGACATTGTCAAACGCCTTTGCGACGTCTAACAAAGCCATGGCTGTGGACTTGGATACAGCTTTGTTACTTCGGATGTTATTCATCACCCGCACTAGCTGATGATTGGTGGAATGCCCCTTGCGGAACCCGAACTGTTCCGGAAGAAGAATGTCATGTTCCTCCACAAACTTGTTTAGTCGGCTGAGGATCAATTTTTCGAACAGCTTGCTCAGCGCTGAGAGCAGGCTAATCGGTCTGTAGCTTGACGGTAGTGAAGGGTCTTTCCCAGGTTTGCGGATCGGGATGATTTTTGCCACCTTCCAGATGCTTGGAAAGTAGTGCAGCTCCAAGCATCTGTTGAGGATGGCAGCCAGCAGCGAGTGCACCCTCGCGCTGAGATTTTTCAACTCTAGGTTGAATATTCCGTCAAACCCGGGAGCCTTCATGTTCGTACTGTGTTTCAGCGCTGAGCAAATTTGTTCCTCTGTAATCCGTTCTTCTGGAGGGACGGCACAAGGGGAGGCATCTAACGTCTGGACGCACTGCACAACCTGGTTCTCGAGTGGACTTGGGATTGTAGAGCCAAGCAAATGCGACTGGGCAATGTGCTCCCCAATTGCATTGGCCTTCTCTTCGTTGGTGATAAGCCGTTCGTCATTGACTCTAAGTGGTGGAATGGGCTTGGGGTGAGACTTCAGCACCTTGGCAACCTTCCAGAATGGTCTGGAACGGTCGTCCAGGTTCTGAACGAGCCGCCCGAAACTCTCGTTCCGGATTGAGACCATTCTGGAAGCGATCTGCCGATTCAGATCGACCATTTCGTATTTACGCTGCAGATCCCCAGTCCGCTGAAACTGGCGTCTACGAACATTTCTGAGCCGAATCAAGAGTTTGGTGTGGGAATCAATTGCTTGAAACTTACCCCTCACAGGAACTCGTCGAACGCACTCTTCGTCAGCCACGGATATGGCTTGATGGAGACCCTCCAGGGCCCGGTCGATGTCCTCCACTGTGTCGAGCGGTGGGTTGTCGTCGATGTGGCGGTCGACCACGCGTCGAAACTGGACCCAGTTGACTCGATGGTAGTCCTTCCGCTGGCACGGTGCAGGGGCCACGTTGTAGCCCAGCTCGGTCAGCACCGGTTGGTGGTCCGAACTCAGGTCGTTGACGGCAACCGGCTTGGCTAATCTGGTGTTTGCCAAGAACAGGTCCAGCGTCGATGGGTTGCCCGTCGGTGATGTGAAGGTTGGTTCGTCCGGAAACCAGACGGAATAGAGACCATGCTGGGAATGGTCGAATAGCAGGCGGCCGTTCTGGTTCTGCTGGTAGTTCCGCCAGGCCTCGTGCCGGGCGTTCAGGTCCCCTCCGATTACAAAGCGGGCATTGGTGTGGGTTAAGATGGCAAGGTCGTTCTTGAACTGCTGTGCTGTACCATTGCTAACGGTACATTGCCGGGGGCAGTAGACAACGATGAACCGGACGTTTCCGGTCGATGTTTCCACCTCAACGCCGACGGCCTCGATGATGGAAGTGCGGTAGTGGGGTAGGGTGCAGTACTTGATGCCTTTCTTGATGATGACCGCGACACCGCCCCCCCTGGAGCTGGTGCGATCAAGCCGGACAATGCTGTGGTCGGGCAGCCAGAAGCTGTCACCGGTCTTGAGATGGGTCTCGGTGAGAAGGCCCACGTCGATGTCGTGCTTGCGGAGGAAGTCTGCAAGCTCAATGTTTTTCGCCCCTACGGAGCGAGCGTTCCAGTTGGCGATCTTTATGGGTTCACGGTCCATAATTAGCGACGAAGGAGATGATAGCTTGGAGCTGTTGTGTTCTTGTTGCGCAGGTGCGCTTGATGATGATGGCCTGGGCCAACAGTGTGACGATCTCATCCGTTGACAGCGGAGAATCGTCTGTAGCTTCACCGGTTGTACCGGCCAATCCCGGAGCAGGGGGATCCGTCGATGGCCCGGAGGCTTGACCGGGTACTGCAGTGGCAGCCAACTGTTGGTTGAGCGGGAGCGGCGGCAACACTGGAATTGGCCGTGATTGGACCGGTGATAACGGAGGAAAGTTCTGCGCGTTGTTTTCTGGAACCTTCTTGCGACCGGGCTGGCTGTTGGACGAGGCCTTCTTCCGGATCTCGGCGTATTCGGCCCGCTTCGGACAGGCCTTACTCGTGGCCTTGTGGGCGGCACCGCAGTTGGCGCAT